TTGGAACAACCTGGGCTGGTGGAAGTTGTCCCTGCCCATGGAACGGGGTTGGACTAGGTGGTCTTTAAGGTTCCTTCCTACCCAAACCATTCTGGGATTTTATGAGCCTGATAATCTGGGTGAATTGCTTTGGCTGGGATCAAAGCAGGGTGAGAGCTGGAGTGGTGCTCAGGGTGCTGGGAGGGATAGTGGATGCTCAGGAATCAGGTCTGGAAGCAGGTGTGGATGCAAATCCCTCTGGCATCTATGTATCTATACAGGATGGACAGCCCCAATGTTTTGGGGGTGACTATGCTGTGCACTATGTATCTATACAGGATGGACAGCCCTAATGTTTTTGGGGGTGACTATGCTGTGCTCCTGGACTGGGGGGGCAGGAGAGCCCATCCCCACTCAGGAGGTACCAGCACTGTCCATGCCTCATGCCAGGAGTGCAGTGTGAGCAGTGGCCCACAGCCAGCCCCGAGCACCGTGTCGTGGCCAACCCCATGCAGGAGTTTGTGGGGAAGGGGCCAGAGACAGATCACATCCACCATCACCTCTTCCACCGCTACAAGGAGCAGTTTGGGAAGAGCTACGACAGCGAGGAGGAGCATGAGCATCGCAAACACACCTTCATCCATAACATGAGGTATGGGAGGCCATAGAGATGGGCTAGAGGGCTCAGGGATGGGATTGCCTGCTCCTCTCTCACAGACTTGGGATACAGGATGCCAGGAGATGGGCTGGGGGGCTCAGAGATGGGATTGTCTGCTCCTCTCTCACAGACTTGGGATACAGGATGCCAGGAGATGGGCTGGGGGGCTCAGAGATGGGATTGTCTGCTCCTCTCTCACAGACTTGGGATACAGGATGCCAGGAGATGGGCTGGGGGGCTCAGAGATGGGATTGTCTGCTCCTCTCTCACAGACTTGGGATACAGGATGTCAGGAGATGGGCTGGGGGGCTCAGGGATGGGGTTCCCTGCTCCTCTCTCACAGACATCAGTACAGGATGCCATGGAACAGGCTGGAGGGCTCAAGGATGGGGTCCCCCACTTCCCTCTTGCAGACATGCAGTACAGGATGCCAGTGGCTGGGTTGCATGGCTCAAGGATGGGGGTACCTAACTCCCCTCTTGCAGACCTATGGTGCAGGATGCCAGAGGATGGGCTGGGGCTGCTCAGGGATGGAATCTCCCACTTGCAGACATGCAGTACAGGATGCCAGAGGATAGCTTGGGGACAGGCTGAGGGGCTCGGGGGGGGCACTCCCACTCCCTTTTTGTGGAGGGCTCAGGACTGGGGTCCCCAGTCCCCTCTCACAGCATCCCTGCTGTGCTGCAGGTTCGTGCACTCGCGGAACCGCGCCGCGCTCTCCTACACGCTGGCGCTGAACCACCTGGCCGACCGCACACCCCAGGAGCTGGCAGCACTGAGGGGACACCGCCACAGTGGAGACCCCAACAATGGG